CATAATCTATTTAAGATCTGGTTGTTCTCCCAAACACTGAGCTAGAAGGCGGGGGGGGGGGGACAGGACACAGAGACAACAAGCTTCTTTGGATGGCTTCTTTTAAGGTTTAGGCATTTTCCTTTTTTTTCCTTGATAAATTTTGTTTACTTTGAATTTTTAATCTGTAAATCACCCAGAGTAACTATGAAGGGGAGTAATTGAAATTGTCACAAGTCCATAAAGCCCATTTTGCAAATTTGGAATTATTACAAAATAATTATTTATTAATAAAAATGTGTGCTGATCAAACTGAAAATTACAGTACATGCTAATAACAAACAGAAAATCCTCACATGCAGAGGGAAACATTTTATAAGAATGTTTTTTTTTAGAAAAACAAATGTATATTACCAGGAGTGTGAATGATTGAGAAAAATAAATTGTTTTGAATCTGCAGCAAACCAATATGTTCCAGAGGTTCGGCTAATGCATTTCAAAACAGCCACTGTTTGACAAAATGAAAATTCTGACTTGCTGTTCTAGGTTCTGAATGAAACAAAATCCAGGTGGGGTAAACCTGGTATATACAGGTAATCACCGGGTTACAGGCAATCCCTTAGCTAACATTCGAAGTTACACAAGAAGAGCCCCCTAGCGTTTACAAAACAAGTCCCGAAACTATGAATCTTGCAACATCACAACAATTGTTCGCCCTTGCGAACAACCGCAGAGGCTCTGCAACATTTGAACTGCAACGTGCCAGGCAAGGAGATGCAGAGGGGTGCATGGGGCTGAGAGGCAGGGACAGGCCTTCCCTGTCTAGTCCATAAAAACAGGTTAATTTTGTTCCACATAAAGTCTAATACCTGCGTATTTTAGGCCAGGCACTGATAAATCAAAACCAGTTGTTCTGCATACAAAGTGATTCACGAGTGACATCTTTCTGCATGCCACCTAATGTCACAATATTCAAAGACTACATGGACATTTGATAGCCCAAGATGGTCCGCCCTGCCCCCCAATTTACCTTTTCTCCAAAAACAAAGAAAGGAGAAGGATACTTCATATCCTGGCTGCTGAATGGGCAGTTAACAGAGGATTTGTGAATGAGAGCATTACGTCCTTCAGTAGTGAGAATCTTCCTCTTTTCTTTGTGAAAGCAGACATTGGGATACAGGCCAAAAGCCAGCAGAGAAATCACAACATCCAGGTTATTATCTGGTCCAGTGTTGCTGAACACCTGAGTCGTTAAACTCTCTAAAAAGAAGACAAAAATTGGCTTTTTCCTCAGTGCCAAAATAACACAATATACTTTACGTAACAGCTAAGGTGTGTAGAGAACATAAATTCTTCCCATTCTTTGAATTCCAGATTGGGTTTATGAAAATTACTTCAAAATGAGGTTAAAAGTAACATGAAAGCAAATGATAAAAATTTATTTCTGCAGAGAAATCACAAGACTTTGAACAAGTTATAGAACTATTTACTATCTGGCTATCTGTATGGTGTTTTTTTTTGGGGGGGGGAAGAGATACACACACAGATAAAGACACACAAACACACATACTTTCTATAGCCTCCACATCCAGAAACCTTAAATAGGAAGAATAATAATCTTACGCGTAATAAGAAATACAGTTTAGTCCATCAGGTTCAGAATTTACAAAAGTGCTATCACAAATAGCTACATGTAGTCCACACTTAATGACTGTAATTGGGACCAACAATTCCACTGCTAAAGTAAGTCATCNGCACTTTTTGTGCACCCTATGCATCCTTTACTTGTGCAGCCCTGTGTCATCCCTGACTCACACCTCTTGCAGCCCTCCTGGTCACTTTCCCCAACCCATGAAACCTGGGCACCATCACATCCTTCCTGACCTGCGCTGCCCTGCCCGTTAGCATCCCTGGCTTGCACTGCACCTCTTACACTCTTCAGACAATCTTCCCAAACCCACCCCCCCATACACCAAGAAAAGGAGAAACACCCCAATGGCGCATCGGTTGTCTAGTCCAGCCTACCGGTACTACATTAAACAACAATCTGGAATCCTGGTGGACACTTTCAAAGACACTCAGCAATTAGTATATGTTTCTCTGCCTGGTAGAAATAATTTTTGGTCCACCTAGCCACGGATTGATTTAAAGCAGTACTACTGTTCCTGAGGATTCTCACACCGGCTATAAGGAGAGTTGTGATAATCTCTGCAAGGACCTTTTCAATCAGACAAGACTGATTCCATGACAGTTTTCACATTGTGTCCTGTCACTATTTAACCATGGGCACAATAGCAGCAAATCAACTGGGACCCATTTTCTTTCTATCCTATTGGCAACAGTCAAAAATATAATCAATTATTACAGTGCCTGCATCTTGACCATCAAATGGCTGGAATTAGGCAAGAATATAACTAAACGGGAGGTGAATATTCCAAAAACGTATAAACATTTCAAGTCATGCCTATTAGAATACGAAGCCAGTTTGGTGTAGTGGTTAAGGCATCAAGTTAGAAACCACAAGACTGTGCAGGTGCTGCTCCTTGGATTGGGCAGGCTGCACAAATGGTTAGTACAGATGCACAAGGGCAAGAGGAGGGTGTACAGGTGTGGGGGACACATCCCAGCGACTTGTGAACTTCCGTGCCGCCTTCCCTTTTGGCTTTCTGGGGAAACTGGAGGTGATCAATGGCAATCAAAGGATCACGGGGCACTTGGCAACAGTCATAAGGGCAAACAGGTTGCCAACCACCCACACCGCAATCACCTGACCACAGGGCTACTGGAATGGCCCGAACTCCAAGGGGTTGTCATAACCGCCCTTTATTCATTATCATCATAACTTCAGTCGCTGAACAAATGGCACTAAGCCAAAAAATGTCTGTCGTTGAGGCTGAAGAAAGTGTACATAATCATATATTCTGAGTTGGCAATTTAGCTACATGGCATTCAAAAAATGACATTACTGTAATTTATGACATTTTTGGAGTTGTAGTATTTTTTATTTTAGAAGTTGCTGTATGTGACAAACATTTGAACAGATAAAGAACTTTAAGCTCCTAACTGGCAATCCTAGTACCAAAGGCATCAATCAATTCATACAGTTTTTGATGATACAACTATCAACCTAAAATTCAAGCTTACACCTAAGACTAATCCCTTAAAAATTAACAACTTCATTGGGATCAAAATAAACATACAAAATTAAAGCAATGTGAATACTGCATATAAATATAATTTGAAATTAATATTCTGAAGTATGAACTCATAAATCAGAAAGAGATCTGTATTACAAATAAAGAAATGTATGGAATATAACAAGTTCATGCATACTTTTATTCTGGAATTACTAACGTTTAAGGATGCCTATGCTTTGAATGTAGACAAAATGATGCTTTAGAGTGGAACAGTCTATTGGCAACACCTTGACCCTAAACCTATTTCCCAGAGATCAGGTGCTTACCATGGAACCCAGGAAGGACTGAACCTCTTTAAGCTTCTTTTCAGCTTCAGATTCAATGTGCAACACATCCTCACTAGCATTTTATCAGTAACCACTCCATCCTCCTCTAAATCCACCACCACCTCTGTTTCTTCCAGTTTGGTATCCTCCACCTGAACCTTGAAAACCTCCACTACCTCGAAATCCACCTCTAGCCCCTCCTGAATAACCTCTTCCCCCAGAAGCACCACCACCACCACCACCACCACCACCACCACCACGGTAAGAATTATATCCACCACGATATCCGCCTCCATATCCACCTTGGTAGCCCCCCCTGTAGCCACCTCCACTTCTTCCTCTGTAGCCACCTCCACTGTCATATCGAGCCATTTTAGGTGGACGAGGTCCATCACCAAACCTAGGAGTAAAAATTGAAATTGTTTATGCTTATCTACAAAGATGAATAAGTGCAATCCTCCAAATATACAATTGTGTATATATACCAAGGAACACTTACTTTACCTAAGTAATTAGAAGTGTGAGAAAATTGCCTATACTACTAGTTATTTTATAAAAGAGAAACTTTTATCCATATATGTATCTGAATAGTGTCCCAAAATCACCATATGTTCAAATTCATGTTTTAAAAAGAGAAACTAAAGAAGGGTGCCATCTTATTTTTAAATCCTTTTTGTTATATTGCTTTATTCTTTGTCAAAGTAGTTCGCTAATATGGATTCCTATGGATCCCATATGTTTAATCATTATGTATCTGCCTATTTCAATTTTATACTCGCTATAAATGGTGTTTAGTTGCAGGATCCCGCAATGTACTTATAAAATATATATTGTAAAATTCCTGGTTAAAGGAGACTTATTTCAAATCCCAGGAGAACCACATTATTAAAAAAATAAGCATTTCATTATGATTCTAAGCTCAAAGTTTGAAACTAACCTCATGTTGCCACCTACTGCAAGATTAATTCCAGCAGCCAAAGGTTTGGAGACTTCGCAAATTACATTCAGCATCTGTTTGTTCATATTGTCTAATTCACTAATGATTTCTGGATTTTTTGTTACTTCTACCACGAGAGCTTCCATTGCTGCACGCAAAGAAATAATACAGGAAGCTGCATGGTGCGGCATCCTCAGTTTGATCCTAAAACAAAGAAAGCAATTTAGCAAATGAAATTTTCTTTTCCTATCTATTAAGTATCTTAGACTTCTCTAAAAAGAGACCTCTGAAAAATGTGTTACACAAGACAACTTGAACTTGGTCTTGTTCTAAAAACCACACTACACTGTATAAACAGTTTCATTTGCAATGAAGAAAGGAGAACCAGAGCATAGTAGTATATGCATCTCTTTTTCAAGCAATACATGTATTTAACAAGAACTACTAAATAAAGTATTATGCCACTTAAAACAACAATAATCTGATCTTATGTTTTTCCTTATGAATTTATTTTAAGTTATGAAACCAACTACTAGGTTTCTCAATCCCCCCTGCCCACTCATGCCACCTTTATCATGTAAAGTCCGCCAAAGGATCATACCAGTCATCTAACATAATAATTTCTCCATCGGATACCACTTTCTTCGAGCCAAAGAGAAGCAGCTGTAAAGGGCTCACTAAGGTCATTGCTTTGGCTGAGATAGCGCGTGTCCGGATCTGCAGAAAGATGCATACTTAATCAATTGTATAATTCGAAATATAACAACTTTCTATTATTTACCCAACTGCTCACAGGTATTAAACTCCCATACATTGGATGTCCTCAAGTGTTAATTAAGACCACCATCTATGTGATGCTTTAACTTATTTGAATGTGCTGTCCCAGCAGATGATGGCAGCCACCTGACCTTCACAGATCTTTAAAAAGTTAAGTTGGCTTGAATCTGCTTAATATTAGAATGGGAGAGCTGTACTGCTCCCCCTCTTCTTTCATAATCTATTTAAGATCTGGTTGTTCTCCCAAACACTGAGCTAGAAGGCGGGGGGTGGGGACACAGAGACAAGCTTCTTTGGATGGTTTCTTTTAAGGTTTTAATCATTGTCCTTTTTTTTCCTTGATAAATTTTGTTTACTTTGAATTTTTAATCTGTAAATCACCCAGAGTAACTATGAAGGGGAGTAATTGAAATTGTCACAAGNACCATATATATTCCAGTAAATCCAACTCTTCTTACACAGCTAGTTCTTTGAGCTTCACATGGCAATACAATCAATCATCTTTGTTCCGTCACAAGTTACATCAAAAAAATTTGATTTGGTTCCGAGGGTCCTAAAAGCTAAACCCTAATAAACATCCAGTAAATGCGTTTTACTGATTTAATTAATTTTAATTATTTTAATGAATTAAACACTTATTTAAAATGTCATCCACATTGAGGATTAGTGTGATGTATGAGCCCAATCACACAGAAATCAGATCTGCCTACATTCAGACCTTTATCCCCTGAGGCCAGTGAACATAAGCCATAATCAACTTAGAAAAATAGATGCTCATAATGAACATTTTATTGAGAAAATAATTCCATCTTCTCTGAAAAATGCAATATTTTCCTCAAATAACCACTATTTTGTGTTCCCATATATGTAATGTGCTGTAATTATTTGATAACTATCTTTAGTAGAGTGATTGAACTCCTAGTTGCAAAATGCTGGAAGACATTTGGGATGGTATATACTCGTGATGGTCTTTTTTATACCTTTGTACTCTTAGGACATCTGACAGTTCCCGTTGATTCCTCTATGAAAATGCCATTGATAGATGCTGTATCTATGAAGTTCAGCTCATCCCCTTCACACTGAACTGCTGTATAACCAGCTTTTTCCCCAATATCTATCTACTTCCAAAACTCTCCTACCATAACCTTTAAAAGGGTGCATCACAGGGCAACAGTTTTTGAAGCAAGATACCCCAAAAAAGATAAATTACAGAATGTGAACAAAATCCAGGAACTTATGACTCCTGAGGAAATGAAATCTGGGGAAGTTAGCAGCCGCTTCAGTGCGGTCGTTATCTTCTTCATTTTAAATGTTTCGTGACCTTCACAGCCAGTCTTGCAACCCCTCATTCCTCACCACCACCCTAGCAGGAGCCATTCACCTATCCGTAGGGAAGGGAGGGAGGAACAGGGAGAAAGGAACTCCATACGCCTTTCCTGGCTCATGCCCCCCCGTGCTTTTCCAACTTCCCAGCTCGCTATCCCTGTATGCCTCCCCCAATCCATGCGGCACTTTTTGTGCACCCTATGCATCCTTTACTTGTGCAGCCCTGTGTCATCCCTGACTCACACCTCTTGCAGCCCTCCTGGTCACTTTCCCCAACCCATGAAACCTGGGCACCATCACATCCTTCCTGACCTGCGCTGCCC